GCACGTTACGTATTTTCCAAAAACATTTGAATTAAAGAATCTGGTTATAATGAAAGCTATAAAGAAGTAAGCCTGAAGAAGATCCCAGGAGGGGAATCGAAAACGTTCGCCGATTTTAAAGAATTTCGCACCGGTTAATGGTTAATTGTAGGTAGTTGTTGGTTTGAAAACTGGTAAACTTCATTCCACAGATGCAGGAACTAGTTTCGCTACTACTGTTGAAAATGAACCAGATCTTAGTACCAAAAACTTGTCTGGTGATTCGGATTTACCCATTCATAAAAAGCAGAAGTATAATGAAGAATGCATAAAATTTGGTTTTACATGGATTGGTGATGAAAATGAACCAAAAGAGTTATGCGTTGAATGTGAACATGTGATGCACAACACCATTTTAAATCTTGCAAAATTGAAAAGACATTCAGAAACTAATCATCCAACTTTACAAAATAAAAATGTTGAATATTTTAAAAGAAAATGTAATGAGTTGAGGAATAGAAAAAAAGACTTTTATGAACTTTGTTAAAAACAATAATGATAATGCTTTGGAAGTATCGTATCGTGTCAGTTTTCGTATTTCTCAACAGGGTGAAGCTTATACGATCACAGAAAAATTAATTAAGCCATTTGTAAAAGATGTAGTTACTATCTTAATTGAGGAAGAACATGCTAAATTAGTTGATCGCATACCCCTTTTGGATACTACAGTTTCAAGGCATGTTAAAGATATGTCTAATGTTTGTGAAAATGAGCTCATAAAACATTTGCAAGCTTCTGAACATGGATTTACTATTCAACTTCACAAAACTACAGATATAGCTGGATTAGCGATCTTGCTCGTTATGGCGAGATATATTCATGGAATGGCTACTCAAGAAGATACTCTAATTTGCAAAAGCCTGCCGATCAGAACAACTACAGAAGAAATTTTTAATTCAATAGATTCATACTTCAAAAAACAAGATTTGAAATATGTTTTCAACTATGTACCGATGGAGCCAAGGCAATGCTCGGTAAATTGAATGGCATAGTCGCACACATGAAACAAAAAAATCCTCACACGAGAAGTACTCATTACTCATTGTCATCTTCATCAACAAGCTTTTGCAGTGATGAAAATGCCAGAAGAGCTAAAAGACGTACTTAATAATTGTGTTAAAATTATAAATTTTATCAAATCAAGGCCATTAAATTCAAGACTTTTCAATTTATTGTGTGAAAATATGGGAAGTTTATATAAAACGCTACTGTTGCACACAGATGTCCGTTGGTTATCTCATAGAAAAGTGTTAGCAAGATTTTGCGAATTAAAAGATGAAATAAGAATTTTCTTATCTGAACCTGCACCTCAATTAGCTCAAAAATTAAATGATGCAGTTTGGATTCAGAAAATGGTATATCTAGCAGATATTTTTACCTATTTAAATGAGCTCAACACACCACTCCAAGGAACAAATATCGATATTTTCAGGGTACAAAGTAAAATTGACGCTATTCTTTTAAAATTGAAATTTTGGTCAGTTTGCATTTTGAAAAGAAATATTGAATGCTTTCCTAATTTGCACAATATTTTAGTAGACAGTAATGCTAATCTCGATAAAAATGTAAAAAATAATTTGGTCCAACATTTATAGGATCTGCAAAAAACATTTCGCGAATGTTTTCCCGTTCAAAAAGAAAAATTATCTTGGATTCAAAATCCTTTTCGAGACTGCCACACCTCCGAACTCTCAATAAAAGAAAGAGAATGACAAATTGATATATTGACCGACAGTCAATTGAAACTAAAATTTAATCAAATTGATATTATGCATTTTTGGATTGACATTAAGAATGAATATTCTGAAATTGCCAAAAGAGCTGTGAAACATCTAATGTCATTTGTAGCAACCTATATATGCAAAAAAATCTTTCTCTTTCTATGCTGCCACAAAAACAAAATACAGAAACAAATTGGATGCTGAAGATGACATTAGGTTGCAGATTTCAACAATTATTCCTGATGTAAAAATGCTTTGCGTTAAAAAACAAGCACAGTTAAGTCATTAAAAGAATTTTCTTTTAATTAATTTGTTATAATATAATATAAAATATAAAATATTGTTCCTTTTGTTAATTATTCATAAAATGTATTCTATTGGGTTGTTCGGAAAGTAAGTTCGTTTCTTTTTCCGTGAAAAAAAAAAAACAATATTTTTATAATAAATAAATATTTTATTGAATTATATATCAACCATTTTGGTCAAATACCTGTTGTCATCGTTTCTGGTAGTAGCATAATTTCACATTCATAAAAGTTTTTATCGTTGCTTACGAAAAACCGATCCAAGTGATTTTTGACATTGTCATTTCAAGTAAATGTCTTACAGTTAAAAAATTTGTATAGACCGGAACAAGTAATAATCCGAGTGTGCTCGATCTGGCAAATATGGTTGGTGTGATAGCACGTCCCATCTAAGTTATAACAGTTTCTGATGAGTTACCAAACTTATGTGAAATTTTACGTTATCGTGGTAAAACACTACACCTGTTTTGTCAATCAATTCTGGCCGCCTTTTCTGTTTGATGATATTACTCAATTTGTTTACTCGATGGCAGTACACTTTTGAATCAATTGTTAAATTGTCTGGTAAAAGCTCCAAAAAAAAAAATTTCTATAAAATCCCATCAAAGAGAGCATCTCTCCTTAAGAACATGTGGAACCCATATATTGAGCTTTAAAACGAAACCAATTTGTTTCAAGTAATCATAAACGGTTCAATTTGATAAATTAAATTTCTTAGTGATTTTCACATGTTGTTATTTGGCTGTTTGCTTCAATCGGTATCTTTATTTTGTTTTTGTTGGCTTCAACTGGCCATCAGAACGTAGTGCATCTTCAATATTGAAATTGCCAGAACAAAATTTTGTAAACCCGTTTTGGCACTGTCTTTCTCTCAACACATCATCTCCATACATGTACCACAATTTTTTTCTTGCTTGAACAGCAATTTGATTTTTTGGTAATAAAAAAGCAAAATATGCCAAAAATGATGCTTTCGATCTTCCATATTTGATGGGACACAAAAAATAAACAATTGCACAGAATCAAACTAAATTTTTTACAAATAAGCCTTAAAATGCTAGCTGTCAAAATATATAATGATAATATGGTTTAGAATGAAAATGGCAGGAAAAATACGACTAATCCGTCTAGTGGTAAAAAAACGAACTTACTTTCCGAACAACCTAATAGAAAATAAATAAAATAAAACCTGATTCGCTACCTCACTATTCATTGTCTTATTAAGATGTTTGTATTAAGATTAAATAAAGATACAAGAATAATTTTGCAAATTTGAGTAGAAAAAAGCTTTGATAAACTATTTTATCTGCTACTTAAACATGAGGTTCCTTCATAAAAACCATGAGCTTGAAGGGTTTTTAAAAGTGTAAAAGGTTGAAGACCTTTGCCCTAGGGTATAGTCATGGAAGGAAGTGGGAAGAGGGGGGAAGGAAAGGAGGAAGAGAGGAGAACTCAAACGCACATGCCCGTATCGTTTAATAGACAAAATAGAATACAAAATACATTGTTTTTGAGACCAGTGGCACAGTATTGAGTACATAGGAACACATGTACACATTTACTACAATAATACAAAATTCCTGATTTAACTACAAATTGCCACTAGTATGACTGCCATCTGCACATAATGCTATACATTAGGCAGGAAGAAGAACGTATAGAAAATAAACTGACCACATAAGATTACAGTACATTGTAATATCTAATAGTAGAGCAAAATGTTGATGCAGTCCATGCACGAGTTGTCTACATATTGACATCATGCTTGTTAGGTAATGTTCTTTTTTTGCTGGTCTTGCCGCACTTTTCTCATGGCTTTCGTTGAAAATCTGACAAATGCTATGAAGATACTCTTGTTGTTGAATAGGGATTTGAGACAGGGCAGGCAATTTGTTCCCTGATAGTAGAAGTGATCAGATCTCTGCAAATCTGACAGAACTGCAGGCAGTCAAAGATAATGTAGAAAGGTTCCTCCAGGGTGGAGTTGTCACAAGGGCAAGTGCCTCCATCCTGCTTTAGGAACCAAAAGACAATCTATACATATTGCCTATCAATTTTTTGGTATACTTGGTTCCAAAATTTTGCCAGATTATTCAGGATCATGCAAAATAACAGAAAATCCTGGGTCACTAATTATATGCCTTCTATGTCTCTAAAGCACTATGGATTACTAGAAAATTAAATTAAGCATATATTAAATATGAACTGGTATTTACATTTGATACTGCTAATATTTACATGTTTTTAGAGCTGTTTATTTTCTCAATCCGAGGTTGAGTTAACATAAGTTTGATATTTGTTACAGTTACTTCTCCGATTTTCACAACAATTATTTTTCTCCCAATCCATGAAAATTATTTACAATATTATATTTACCAAATACAATCAAGTACAGTACATGGACGGGTTTCTCAGAAGCTCATTTTGTATTCCTTATTTTCCGACAGTTCAGTCCTCCGATCCCTTCGTTGGTCTATCCAGATCTCCAGACGGAAACAAAGAGCTCTTCCATTGGCCCTTCAACCCTTTATACCCCTCCTGTTCCCCCACTGGGTATATTGCCCCTCCAGGCCTAATGGATGATGGAACATTTGGGAATCTTACCAAACAAAGGGCATTGTGTCTGACATTAAATATTTTATGACAAGCAATTGTCACAGAGCTACAGTTAGGATTAAGTATATATAAAATGAGCTAAAAATTGCATAGAATAGAGGGATTCCCAATAACTTCAATGTAGATTTTCCAAGTAAGCATGTGCCTAATGCCAACTGTGGATGTTCAGTGAACAAATCTGATGATCACAGAAATTTAAAGAAAGTGCCCACTTGTCTTATCTATCTGAATTAAAAGATATGCTGGAAAATTAGTGATAAACCTGTATAAATATCTATTTAAGTTTAATAATAATAATAACGTATTTTGTTTATTTCAGGTGGTCATGGGACATACTTTATTAAAAACATAACCAGTTTTCATTTCACACAATCAGTGCTTGATTTAGCCTTGATAAACACATTTCAAGCAATATTTCTTGTCATGGCCATTGACTACTTAGAACATTTATATCTTCTGTTATTGGATAGTCCATTTAATGGAAGTTTACAGAAAAAGAAGAAAATTGTAGTTATTTTAATTATTTTTCTTTGTATAGGTAATTAAAATATATTTTAGTCTTTATAAATTTATTATTGTAATGTATATTAATTATTTATTATTATTTATGTTTAGGGTGTTTTGCATATTCTGCTACTAAAGGAATTTGGCTTGGATTAAATTATTTTCGTTCTGCATCTTATGTTTTGCCTCATATTAGTTATATTATTTTAATATATTGGACTGTAGTTATATCTGTATGTAAATTAATAAGCATCAGTATTTATCCATTTAATTTGAAACATCTTGGAACTTTACGCAGAATTGTTACACCAACAGATCCAAAACCAGTGACATTAAAACGATTATTTCTTCTTGTTAAATCAGTAAGTAATTTGAAAATTTTGTTTATGTATTATTAAATAATTTTCTTTCTCACTTTTAACTCCACTAAGTTAGTGCAATATATATTAATTCAGTTATGTGAAATTTATCTATTAAAATTATATTTAACATAGAAACAAAAGAAACTAATTTCTGCTAAAATATTAATTTTACAAATGCTTTTCTGAAAAATTAATTGTGTTTTTAGCAATTATAATTACATTGATTTTTAGTACTCATGCTTGTAAGTTATACTAATAATATCCAGTTTATAGAATTATTTTAGTGTAAACATATTTGTGATATTATAATTTGTTTTTAACTTCTTTTGGTAGACAATTGAAATAAAATTACACATTATATATTTTAGGAAATGAATTTAATTTTTGCTGGTACTTTAGCATTATTAGTATCCAGTGGAACAACTACAATAGCTCCTTTCTATTTTGGAAAAATGATTGATGCTGCACAGAAATCTTTAGGTAAATATCAAAATTAATATTTGATGCGTTTTTTTATAATTATTCTTGAAACTGTTAAGGTATTACATTGAATAAGAAATAATATAGAATGTTTGTTGTTTGAATAAAATTAAATAAGTACAGTGGGTGATTGGTTAATGAACAGATCGGATAATGAACAAATCGGATAACAAACACTTTCGTAAAAGATTTTTATGTTTGGGCAACGAACATCCCACAGAACAAACACAAGAAGAAGCGACGTAAAATAATGAATACCGATTTGTCTTCCCTTGTCTTTGGGCAACAATTCGAAACTTTTCGGAGTGTGAGAGACGTCAACATTGACGCTCAAGCTGGTTTATACCAATCAGATAGTATTCCTCCGAACTTTGAAACTCTCCCTTGTAATTCCAGCCTTTTATTTTTGTGACAAAATAATTCTTTTATGTATTCACGAGACTGTTGGGTAGGCACTCGTTAAGTTTTGCATCTGTTTTTCTTTTCGAAAGGTGAGAGTATAATAGCAAAGGTAGAGAGTGGGCGGAAGATGCCTAATGTTGCTGAGTGGGCAGTATGGCGTGAACAGGTCTACAGTAGGCCGCAGTTCAGTCTTATTTAAGAAAAATACAGTATAATCAAGAAGACTCAAGCAGCTAAAGGAGTAACAAAAATCACATCTGAGAAATAAAGAACATTGAAGAGTTCATAATGGAACCCGAAATGGATCTGATGACAGAAGATCGCCAAGAACTCTTGAATGAAGAACACCAAGAAACTCGGTGAGATATGTTTTCTTCTGAAAAAGAGGATTAATACTGATATCTGTTATTAAAGATCCTTTGAAGAAGTGGGATGATAACAGAACAACGGTCTTAGAATGGCATCCAAACCAGGTTGAGGCTTGGGGATTTCTGCAATTGCAATGCTATTAATTACTTACGAAAAATCCTGAGGAAGAGAGAAAAGCAATAGACATTAGACAGATTCTTTAACCCTTTCAAACAGAAAAAACATGACTAATAAAAACACAAGACTGTGTGTGTATATAGTCTTATTATTACATATAAATAAACGTAGTAAGAAAGTATATATTTTTTATTTTTGGGGGTCTCCAGAATGAATTAATTAAATTCCCATTAAAACCTATTGTAAATTGATAATCGGTTAACGAACAATTCGGATAGCAAACAAAGTCTTGGAACGAATTATCGATCACCCACTGTACAATTCTTTTGTTAATTTTGGTTAAATTTTAAATTTCTATAATTTGTAATGTTTTCCAATTGCAAATGCAGCACTTAATTTGAACTTTCTTTTCTCTTAAATGGTATTCTTTGTTGAATGGGAAATTAAGTAGAACTAATGATACTGTAGATGCCTTCATTAAATAATTCAATGGTTATTTAAATAACAGTAATTATTTTAGTATGTTTTATGAAATACATAGTGATAAGCAACTAAACTGTTTTTAAATGTATTATTTCTGTATGAAGTATTCACAATTTCACATTAAAAACATTACACTAAAAATTTTATATTCTTACATTTTATTAATAATATCAAAATGTAATTTGGAGGTTTAATTGTGAATTATTAATGTGCTTTTCTTAATTATCACATGCATAAATTCGTTAACAAATTTTTTATTATAAGCAGAATATGATTGATTGTCCGTTATTTAAAACAAAAATCTATTGTCTTTCTTTTGAATCAAGGCTATATTTAGTCACTTATCATTGGGAGGCATGGAGATTGATTTTACCAACTAATATCAGCAATACTTCATGCAAAGTACCAGTCAAGAAGGATGGCTCTCCTTATGCAATCTCTTCATCCTTCACACTCTTTCTTTATATTTCTGAATTTCTTGTAATTCTGAAAAAAAAATTTAACTGTATTTGTTTTTTTTTCTTTTTTGTTTTGGTGATGTGACTTTGCCAACTATTCAGTGAAATTTCTCACAATGGAGGAACAAGATGACTCACAAACCCCACAGCTTTGCCCATTTTCAATACAGAAGTTCAGTTTCTACAAGTTCATCTTTTATATCAAGTTGTGACTTTTGTGTGTATTTTCTAAAACAATTTAACAATTTAGTTTTTCTAAAATAGATATATTACATATATATACTGAATATAGCTTTACATTAACACAATAAGTAACAATTTGTCTATTTACTTTTTGTTTAATGTCTGTTTTATTACAAACATAAAATGATTTTGGAGACAACAACATATTATTGTAATAAACTAAGAAAAAACATGTTATTTTGTAATTATAAATGAACATCTATTCTTATAAAAATGGAAGTTTTAGATTATTATTATTTACTCAGGCTTCTGTATATTAATAGGACTTATTATACTGGTGTAATTGATTAGATACAAAGAGGAAGCAGCAGTCAAAATTAAAACAGTATTTCTTAGATAAGACAGGTAAAACAGATGAAAATGAATACTATTTTAATTTTGACTACTGCTTCTTCTTTGTGTTTAATTGATCATACCAGTATAATTATACTTACAAGGGAACTGTCGGAGTGTCTTCTAATAAATTTTAATAAAATTTAGTGAATAACTACATTAAAAGTATACAAACTCTATTTTAAATTTGTAGCATTCACTAAAAGTGTTGATCAGAGTTATTAGCAATCAAATGTTGCACTACTTTATAGTAGTTTAGCACAATTACACAAATTTTTAGAAGTGAAAGGGTTGCGGAGGAAGACGGCGATATTACATTTAGAATAAATTCTGGAATTTTCAAAAATGGTATACAAAATTTTATTAATTCTTCAACCATTTTTGAAAATTCCAGAATTTATTCTAAATGTAATATCGCCGTCTTCCTCTGTGATCCTTTCACTTCTAAAAATTTGCGTAATTGTGCTAAACTACTATAAAGTAGTGCAACATTTGATTGCTAATAACTCTGATCAACACTTTTAGTGAATGCTACAAATTTAAAATAGAGTTTGTATACTTTTAACGTAGTTATTAACTAAATTTTATTAAAATTTATTAGAAGACACTCCGACAGTTCCCTTGTTAGTAGATGATGATAATTTAAAATAGTATTAAGGACATAGAGGCATAATTGATGGAAGTTTTAGCTTTACACACACATTTTTTACTATTAGCACAGTTAGGTTTACTTAAGAAACAAAGTTTGTTTAAACAAAATAAATAAGACTTTTTGAGCAGGAAAAAACACTCCATTACTGTAAATTCAAAAAATTAGAAAACTTCTAATTTTTCTAATTTTTGGCAAAGTATTTTAAAATAAATATATTTTTAGACTGTATCTTAAATTTACAGTGATGGAGTAATTTTTCATGCTCAAAAATCCTTAAATATAATTATAATTGGGACCAACACAAAACTTATATAGTAGTTCATTAATTCTGCACCCTCTAAAAGTTAATTGATAATTGAATTTGTCCAATAATTATCTGGCATCCTAGTATACTGCACATTGTGGCTACACACCATATTGTCTGCTTCTTACGTTTTTCCTGTTCTTTGTTCTTTTCATCTTTCAGAACTTCCTAATCTCCTTAATTATTCTATCTTGGAGGTAAGGGCCACTTCCTAGAATCACCAGCATAATATATACAAGGTTACCTGAGGACATAATGAGGAGAAGAAAGGCCACTTCTGAGCTAGTGCTCAAAGAGAGAGGATGACGAAAGGAGAGAGATGTTATAGTGTCCAGTGCTTGAGTAGACGGGTAAAGTCATAATTTTGAGCAGGAACCCGAGCCAAAGTTGGCATTCAATTTGATCAGTTGTGAGTTTTGAACAAGCAACTGACAAGTTGGATAGAAGTAAAAACTCTTATGACCCAAGGGAAAGAAGACAAAAGTGTGTATTGTGTGTAAGAAGTTTCCACATGGCCCCTCATGACAACAGAAAGACGTTTATGCAACCTGGGTACTTTTCTTCTGTCCTATCCGCAATCTTTGCTGCTTCTCACCTCCTATCTTCAATTTTCCTTTCTTAGTATAATGTGAGACTCAGCCTTGTTTGTTTACGGCCTGATCTAGATTTTTAACAATACCATTTTGTTAAACTACTGTCAACTTTCACACCTGGGAGTTAATCACTTGACAAGTTCTCAGCAGATAAAAAGACACTTTCTCATAACCTCACGACTTATTGTTACAAGTTTGTCAGTTGAATATTGCAACAGACCAATCTTCGATGCAGTCATCCTTCATCCTACCAACCGTTTTCGAAGCTTAACATTACCCAAGTGGAATTTTATGCCTATTAAACCTTACCAGAGTGAAATTTTGTGCCTATTGAATTAACTAACTACCGACATCTAGTGACAATCACCAAAGGACATCTAGTCACCTAAAGGAATGATAGATCAGGTATATATCACCATGCGTTTTAATGTGAACTCTCTCTCTCTTACTGTGAAAGCCAGTTATCCCTCTTTAACGAGGAACGTGTTTCCTGTATTCAATGTCTTAGATTACTATTAAACGTTATTTTGTTATCCTAATCTGCATAATCACTTCCATTGTGCTGTCTCTCTCTCACTCATCCAGAATCAGACCGCTCGCATGACCTACTTCTGAACTGCCGCGGCTTTCATTTCACCCGAGACACAGTTCTGTCAATCCTGATGAGGCACTAAAGAGGTGCCAACCCTCTGGTCACAATAAGTTAGTATCATGGATTAGTGATAAGAAAATCTTTTTGTAATAAATATTCTCAATTTTTTGTACAAATCACGATATTTTTATAATTGTCCCACCAACGGTCAGATTTAAGATGACCTCTGGATAAACTGCCCTAGAGTTGGAATCCATTTGAACCTGTATATAATTATATCACACATAAATAAATTTAATTTTCTAACATCTACTGCACGTGTTTCTAAGGCAAATACCTTTTGTTGGGTATTTGCCTTAATCGGCTAATGGAGACAGTTTCTTAATTATTACATTTATAGGTTTTGTGAATCTTAAGTATACAGTGCATATCCGGAAAATAAATATATACACATGAATCATTGTGAATGTTGATTTTGTGCAATAATGTGTTTATTAATATTTTACCATGCTTTTCAATCAATCGTAACAAAGTTAATCATGCACTGTATCATCATTAGACTGATTAAAGTGTATTTGCTAATACAATGTCCACAACATTCAGATTGTCTATCATTAAATTTTTCAAAAATACAAAAACATTCAGTATCTGGCAATTTTGATAATCTGGCATAACTTGTCTGGATTAACAAATTTGTGTTGTGTGTTAATGCTGGAAAATTTTATAATAGGTTCTAACTAAACTAAATGATCATGCTTATCTGTAAATAAAAGAATATATTCATACATTATTATATTTTCATTTATTTAAAAATTAATTTAAAATTTAAATAGAATGATACACATAATATTTTAACAAATATCATAAGAATTATTACTATTATAGAAGTTTATTGTTATCAAACGTATTAATCATTAATACTTTTGATGATAATAAAGTTTTAATAATATATATGCTTTTGTTAATTACACTATTTTTATTTTCAGAAAAGTTAAATGAAACTGTTCTGATTTTATTAATGATTTATCTAGTTGGAAGTATTGCATCAATGGTGAGAGCATGGCTTTTTACACTTGCTGGTCAAAAGTTTGTAGCACGACTTCGTAAAACTTTATTTTCTGCTATGATAAATCAAGAAGTTGCATTTTTTGACACTAACAGGTATGTATTTATTTTTCTTTTGTTCTACAAAAATAATAAAAAAAATTATTAGTATTATTTGTGTATGACAAATAATACTAATTGCTTTTTGCTTTTTTTTTTTTTGTTCAATTGATGCAAGATTTTTATTCATTCAAATTGTTTTTCATTTTTTGGTATTTAGTTTTCCTTTCTTTTAGTAAAATTCAATACATCTTCCTTAATACTCTTTTTACTAATTTGATATTTTTGTAATTTTTTTTTAGATTAAATAAATGAAAACCTAAAATGCAAAATAATAGTAAAAATTTAATACCTCTTGCATTTACATTTTAAATAAACAGATAATACAGTATAAACAGCTATACATATTATGTTAATTAATTAATGGAGCATATATATTGTTCTGTTTGTTATAGCAGATTAATTGAAATTCATATTTTATATTTCAGAACAGGTGAATTGACAAATCGCTTATCATCTGACACACAAGTTATCCAGAATTGTGTCACGGTGAGTGATCTTTGATAAGATAGAATCTGTTCTTTGAAACCTTATATATATATATGTTATGGACAAAGTGATTAATATGGGCATTATTCATAATGCCCAGTCATTGTGAATAATGACTAACAAAATCGGGCATTGTAATAAATTTCAATAATTTATCAAATTAACCGGTCATACTGCTATCATCTAGTCGGGCAAAGTGATAATAATGCATTGAACAATGATCATCCAAAATATGCTAGCCAATCAGCACTGGCATCTGAGTTGCGTATTTAGTACCAAATTTGGCGGCAGTCGCAACTGTTTGTGCTTTTGATGGTAGTTCTTGAACACATGTATCAATAACTAGTATATATCAATATCTAGTATTGTTAAACAATCGGCGGCCTGCTGGCGGCTCCCCTCCGGGAGGAATCTGTCGGGAGCACAAACAGTTGCGACCACAGCTATGACGGTGCACATAGATAAAATTTTACCATTTAATTAATATAGTTAAAAGTGCTTAGTTTTAAAAGATTACATGTCCTTTTTTAAAATACTTTGAAATAATTCACAAAAAATAAATATTTCTAAATGAAGTAAGTGGAGTTTTTTTAACCAAATTAAAATGTCACACAATTTAAAATTCAGTACTAAATGCAATATGCACTCAACACGATACAATCAGCAACTCAGTGCCAATTGGCTAGTGTATGTCGGATGATCACTCCTCAACGTATTATTATCACTTTGCCCGACTAGGTGATAGCAGTATTCATAATGACCAGTCAATTTGATAAATTAATCAATATTTATCACACTGCATGCCCTTTTTGGTCATTATGAATAATGGTCATATGAATAATCACTTTGTTCATAACGTATATATAAAAGGTTTCAATAAACAGATAGAATATATATTCTTTACATATTCTTGCCTCATATTCAATTAAAAAAGAAGTCTTAAATTGTTAATATTCATTTAATACTAACATGTTGTGTTCATAATTTAATTTTGTAATACTACATTCAAAATGTTCAAACTTGTTTCCAAATTTATTCTATTTTATAAAATATTTAATAATAATTTGGTTTTAGACAAACTAAAATAAATTCCCCCACTTTTTTTATTAATTTGAATTCTTTTCAACTTAAAATTCATTATTATGTTTGATATAAATTCAATATTACACTACTGTTCTTTTGTTCCTTATCTATGTAACTTCTTAATTTCAAAGTATAAAATGAGAACTTTTTTGTTTTATTTAATTTGTTTAAATAAGTCATTCTATTTCATTGATATTTGATAGTTTTGAGAATTTATATATTTAATTGTCAGTTTGATTTCAAAATGTTCTTTACACTTTTATTATAAATATTTTTATCTTCATATAATATTTTCACATTATTTTCAAGCTTCTCCCCACTTACCGGCGGCTCCGGTCAGAGGATGTCTACAGGAGGGCAAAAATGAGTGGGGAGGTCGTGAAATCCGTAGACAGGCTATTGATGAGACAAGGTGAACACAAACAACACATTTATTAACCTTCTGTTAGTCGCATGGGTCTGACAGACCCGACGCGATTTTCAGTCAAAATTTTTTACTATTAAATATTTGTTGAAAAATTTGAAAAAATTAATATTCCTCAAACTTTTTAATTAGATTAACATGCTGTTAAAATTTTTTGCATAGCAACGCTCATTTTTTAGAAAAAAAATGCTTTACGAGTCGCATGGGTATGACAGACCCATGCGACTCACGGAGGGGGTAAAAAAACGTCAATTAATTTGTCGCCGTTGCCGATAGCGAGTGTCGCAATAACTTTATCGCGCTGAAGTTGTCGCGCGGTGTCTATTATACTTTATAATATCGTTATTTATTTATATATTTATTTTTTTTTTTTTTTTGTTATAATATTGTTTTCAAAATTAATGTCTAATTAACTTTTAATCATTTTAATTATTATTCTATTTTTATCATATAATTTTTATATATTACTTATGATGATTCTTCGTATATTAGACGATGCAAGTTGGCATTTTTTTACATTTACTAACCAATGGGAAACTTGTGAAAACAGTCTAGCTATAAATTGCCGGGAAATATCTCCCCCCTTTCGGCAATGATCTTGGAAATCAAATGTAAACAATCGCTGTAAATTCGCTTGTTTTATTCGCGTTTTGAGCTATAAATTGTTAATTAAATATTGTTTCACAATGTATATACGAGTAAGCATGTTCTCAAAACTGTCTAGCAATAAATATTCCCGGGAAACTCCAACTCTCTATAGTAAGTCTATGGAAGATGTTATTGCTGTTAATTGGCTTTAAAATTTTTGTTTCTACGCCTATTACACTGTAATTGGTAATTTATATTATGACTGATTTAAGTTCAACGAATGAGAGGTTTCTTCAGAACCATCTGGTCTGGATTTTCCCGCGAAGAACCAATCAACGTGATTAAAGTCAGAATGTAAGCAAACCTTACAAATAGCTATCTTCTTCATTTTAGAGCCGTAATTCTGGTAATTTTACTCCTGAATGTTCCTGACAAAACAAACATTTGTTTAAATAACGTCAATTAAAATGAAAAGTAGCGAAATTAGAGCTGAAAACGATGAAAATGGCGATTAACTAACTTTTATTTACATTCTGACATTGATTTAAGTGAAAGGCTAATTCTTATCGCAGTCAATTTCCCACAAGACAATTCTGAGAAGATGCTTACTCGATCAAACGAAATAAAAGCAGTATATGTTAGCTAATTAGCCCCTAAACATTATGAGAGCTAATTAGATATAAAGTGAAAAATTACAACTATGCGACAATCATATCGCATAGCTATCATTATTGTAAAATCAAATAATCTAAATTAATCTGATAAAAATACTTTAAATTGTTATCTGCAATTATTATCTATTTATTTTCCATCGCTAAACAACAAAACAAAACTAAAACAAGAACGTAAACTACATTTTAAGTAATTATAAATGAAATCGCTGCGTTTAATCGCGTTACGACTTTGTTGTCGCGCAATACGCAACGCGCGACAGAAAAAAACAAAAATAAATTATGACAATACAAATTGTGAAAATTACAAAATTTTTGATAATTGCATTTTTATAACATTCAGGTATTGACATGGATGTATTTTTTAAGTATTATTTTGTAAAAATTTTATATTATGAAGAAAACAAATTTCAGAATCGAGAGCATGTCGTAAATTGCCGAATTTTTGATGGTCCACCCATTATTTTTTCGATCGCTTCTTTTCATGCACAGAAAACATTTATAACTAAACTATAAGCAAATAATTTTGATGGATTCTATAATATTTTGAACGATGTCAATTTTTGAAAATAGGTGATCGAGTTAAGCCTAACACACGACTATATCAGATAAAAAATTAAAAATAAAATTTATGTCTAAAAATCATACGAAACTATCTATTAAATCATAAAGACAACATTCTTATGAGTAAAATGAAGTAAAATCTTTGTCAATTAGTCGATTTACAACTCAGAAAAGAAGTGTTGAAAATAGAGTCATAAAACAATTAACGTTTATTGACTTTCGCGGTAGGGGGTAACGCGGGGTCGGTTGACAAATTTTCTCGCAGTAGTGCAAAAGTTCTACTCACTTCGCTTGAAAGTGTCATATTTCTTCCCCACTTACAAACAAACCCGATGGCAATCGGTGAAACAGGAGATAAATTACAGCGAGTTGAAATTTGATATGTTTATTTTTTTGCGTTTTTCGTATCGAATTACATAAAAATAAATATTAATAAATTCATTTTGTCAATACGCAAGTAATTTATATCACTAGATAGAAAACAAAGCGCAGAATCCAACTAAGAAACTGTAGTTTCTTTACGCGATAGATAAAATTGAATTATTTCATATTAAAAACACTGGGTCTGTAAGACCCATGCAACTCAAGTAAGGGCCCCATTCCTAGCGACTTACGGAGGGTTAAACTACTAAAAGATTATACATATCAAAGGCAAAAGCCGATATGACACACATATAATAATAATAGGAATCTATTCTATATCTACATTCTATCTTAAACTAAAGAATGAGAGAGATACCTCACTAAGAGGGACATGTTGGAGAGAGAGACTAAATTTGGTCAAGGGTTTATCTCGTGAGATTTGATCTCGTTGTATTAGGTGTTGGTAGGATGCACTGGGATTGGAGGTTCCTAATCATAGTTTCCCTTGGATGGCGGTATGGAGTGACAGATGGTATGGCGGTAGGAAGCTGGTGTTCCTTGATGTCTGCTTGGCTATGTCCAATGTGGGGGTACACTCTATTGATCTCCGACTGTAGAGGTCTGCTGAGGATGTTTACCTGGCGGGGTCCTCTTTGGCTGTCCACCCGGAGGTGCAAGTTTGACCCCTTTTTATACTTATCTTGGAGGGAGAATCATGGGGGAAGAAAATCTGATGCAATCACCAGCTAGACTTGCGCAGAGCTGTGTTTATGTTATCGTCATCTTTTCCTTCCACTATTTGACATCTTCCCATCATAAATTTGTCAAACTGCCTGATTTATTGATGTGAGGTGACTCATGTCAGAATATGTCTGCTCATCTTAGTAAAAATCATTTCCTTATTTGGTCATTTAGATTGACTTTCTCATCGGGTCAGTCGGACTTAGAGGTGAGTACGGGGTTTTGTTTTATCCTCATCGGTGACCTTTTGGTTACTCTCTAGACAGTAACAGGTGGTTGTTACCGTTAACTGGCTACTTATCTGCACCTCATATTTATGTTAGAATTGAACGATCCCCTGATGTGAAGGGAGTCCTTCTTTGGACGATTAAAGTCACCTTCGAGATGACGCAGTACACTGAGAGGTCAAAAGGTCTACTCTTTACTTCACAAGAGGGGAAAAGAAAAAGGAAATAATGATAAACATAAACTATACCAATGTGTGAAAATTTACACTTGCGTCCAAATTCTCACAATATTATAACTACTTATTGTACAATATGTACAGTACAGTATATAGAACAATGATTGAATATGTTTAAAGTATTATTTTTATACTCTTTAAATGTTGTTTTGAATTTTCTCACTTTTTCTTAAATGAAAAAATATGTAGCCATTCGTTGCATTCCACAAATGTGTAAAATGCTATAAATCATTGTCTCCAAAGGATTGCTTGATGTTTTATCAACTCCCATTTCTTTTTTGCTAATATAGTTAATAATAATAACACTATCTCACCAGATTTATTTAATTTAAACACCATTTTCATAGAAAAGGTCTAGTTAGTGTGCAGATTTATAACATCCTGAACTGTCATATGTAACCCATTGGACTAATTTTTGATGAACCGCTTTCAATCAACCCTTGAAAATTCCTTATTAACCATTTCAGGGACTCCTGTTAAAAACCATTATTTATTCACATTCTGTATCATTAAAATTTGTTCATTGAAAGTTTAAATATAAACTATCAAATCTCTCAAATATCAATAAAATAGAGGTTGAGTACACGGAATACTATAAATTATTTCTGATTTTTTTTTAATATATTTCAAATAATACAAATTATAATCTGTAATTTTTTCCCCATATTAAAATATTATATACAATATACAGTATAACCTCTGAATAGTAGATACTGTTGGGACTGATAAGTTGACCACCAGCATACATGCTGGTGGTCATATTGTATTTTAACCTGGTCATTATAAAGTGAAGAATACAATGAATCACAAGAACATCAAATTTGCATTAGGTATGTGAAAATATCAAAAGTATATATAGCGTATATAATTAACATATATATATATACAGTATATTATTTGTCTTTTCAGCTGTAAAAATCACATTTTAATCGAATTCTAAATAGTAAACAGATTTAACAAGATAATTTAAATGGAACATAAAAATTACAATAAAACATAAAAGTTGATTAATTATTAATTCATCAAAAACAACCTGAGCAGAAGTAACGAAAAAGAAAAATGCAACTGTTATTATGAACAGATTGGTGGATGAAGATTGATTTAGGCAATGAGAGTTCAAATGTTGTGTTATGAAGGCAATTTGCTTGCCACTTCTAGGAGTAAGAAATGTATTTGGTATTCTTGTATTCATAATGTGGTTTATGATCTAAGCGACTAATAAAAATTGATATATGGATTTGTCTGTTTTGTAGTTATTGAGTAGGTGTAATTTTTTGGACATTTTTGCTTTTTTCAATAAATGATTTATTAAAAATTACTTTAGCCACCACAAAGCTGTTAAGAACATAAATTACATCATAAATGTGAGAAAATTGAATATTGTCCTACATTTTAAAGTGGTTGGCAAATCACCTTCATAACACAATCTTTGGTCTTTCATCAACTAAATGCTGATGCTTTAACCTTAAAACTGTTTCTTTTTCATTACTACTACTATACCACAGTTCTTGTTGAATGAATGAATAACTTTGGAAAAGTTTATGGTTTTTTTGTACCGTAAACTTAATTCCAACAATAAAACAGAAGTTTAAATAACATTAATATGTATGACAATAAATAGTGATTGACAACTTAACCATATTAGTGTTTTCTAACAAATAAAGAGTATTGTTTGGTTTTTACAACCTACCCTCCTCCCCTATTCATATTTTAAGCCAGTCTTATTCAACACCTATGGTCAAAATTTGTCTTCTGAAAGAGTATTTGAACTGATTCTTTGTTTTTGTTATAAAATATTTTGTACGTAATTAATTATTTCGTAATATTGAAGGCAGAACTTCATGTTTTTGTAAGTAGGTTATGGATGACGATGTTCATTCTTAAGAGTGTGTTCTATTTAGAGGTAAATATTATAGATGTCCTATTTGAAGGGTCTGGGGATTTTAAAAATGTCTGTTAAGTAGAGGTACCAGCTATTTGGGAGTCTGTTATTGGAGGTTTCACTGTATATTTATCTATCCATAAGTATATTATATATTTTTTATTTGACTGTACTGCTATTTGTTATTGTTAATTCAACCAGTTTTACTTATTTAATTATTTTAGATTGCAATGTTATTTAATGTTATTTATATAGATGTGTAAATAACATTAAATAAAATCTTTTTTCTATGATAATGGACTTTTGTTACACTATGTATATAAATGATGATGATAAAATCTATAGAGTTCTCAACAATTTAGAGGGAAAATACATCTAAGACACATAACCAGACAAAAACTTTATTTTACATAAATAGGACAGATGAATACAAATATCTGAGTCCAATGCAAAAAAACAAAGCATTGCTAATTTGGCCCATTAATTCATAAACATGCCCAGCCTTGCCTCAGGTACTAACAGTCATCTTGCAACTTGAGCAACATCCAAAAATAACTCAATAAACAACAAACAACAAAATCTTAATAAATAAATGATTTAAAATAATGTAGAAATACATAACAGTGTAATTATTGAAAGGAAATTGACACTACTACTACTATTATTAAACATTTTAATAAGTATTTAATTAAATAGAGAGGTTGAGGCAGACGTTTTAAACGTGTAAACGTGTACGTGTGACGTTCGGCGCCGCTTTCCCGTAAGCCTAAAAGTTTGACGATGGTGTTTGGAATGTCGAGCGTGATTCCACCGACTATCCAAACACCATTGTCAAACTTTTAGGCTTACGGGAAAGCGGCACTGAACGTCACACATACACATTTACACGTTTAAAACGTCTGCCTCAACCTCTCTAATAAGTAAACATTACTGCTTGAAATGACTCATATGTGAAAGCATTTCAAAAGCATAAAAGTGTGAGAAATTTCATTTTAAACAAAAACATTTGCCTGTTAAAATATTTGATAAAGTTTTAATGTAGCAAAAGTATCAATTTTCTTCCAAGTGAGGTAAATAATTTATATAAATTGATTAAAATAAAGATAATTTTAAATGATTTAATTTTCATTACTAAAAAATTTCTTTTCTAGGTAAATATATCTATGTTATCAAGAAATGTTTTTCAAGCAATAGGATCTATTATATTTATGTTTGTTCTTAGTTCTCGACTGACTGGAGTCTTATTAGCGGTCGTTCCTCTTGTATCTATAGGAATTGTAAAATATGGTAATTATTTTATTTTATCACATTTATATATATTAAAGAAATAACTCATAATTTTGATGTTTAAAAATAATGAGAAGTTTTCTGATTGATTGCTGACATAATTGCTGAAATATTATTTGAAATTCACTATGCAAATTACTGTTTTGAAATTTATCACTCAAATTTTATAATAATCATTTAAAATTGAAGCACATATTTAAGACTTGAATTTCAATAAGTTCTTTACATTAAGGGACAATACTTTGCTTTTCCAAAGTGTTTAGTGGTCAAATATATTAAGGTTATTAAGAATAAATTGTTAAAGATGTTACATCCATAATTATGATACCATGATAAAACGTTTATGCAAAATCTAGAAGAAAAAATCTAAGATTCCTAAAGGCAAAAAATTCTTTTGAAATTAAAAATTTTTTAAATAAATGTGCCATCAGTATATTGAACATCAGGAATATAATATAAAAAAAACTGATGACTTCAATTTGTTTTGAAAATGGCTAGGCTGAGCTGTCTCCAAAAATATGTCTGTGTTTATCCTGAAGCCAACACAAGGTGTCATCTTCTACTGCCTGTCTACAACTGGAACTATTAAAATATTCCAAGCATTGAATCTATATTTGTTGCTCTCTTTGATATTTGATGTATAAAACTCTCAAAAATCCAAGCTGTAATTCATTGCTCAAATGAAAACTGTAGAAGTATTTCACCCACTCCTCTGGTGGGTGAAATACTTCTACAGTTTTTGTTTCTTTGGCTCGTTATTGTTTTATAAATTTTTAATTAAAAAATTTTTTCCAAATTATATTGTGAATGTAACATTATTAATAAGAATTGAACTGAAAGAATAAATTATAACTTAATAAGTCTAAAAAAAGTACAGTTTCTGATTAGATTTTTTTATTTCCAAGTTGCACATGCAATGTGATAGTCAGAATCAGTTTCTTTAGCCTACATTTATTTTTTGACAGCTTTAATGATATTATTTTGAAAATGGATGAACTGTTTTATAGGCAAAGTCATTGTTTTAAAGAAAAATAGCATAGTTTCTCAATTGATTTGGAATAAGGACAATTATGAAGAGTAGGAATGCAATGAAATTTGAATTGAATCCATTAACAATAAGAAAGAAGATATGAGTATCTTATAATGATTAAAAGACATGTCAAAAAGTATTTTAGAATGAAAAAGCAATTAGGAAAGGCCCTCTACAGAAAATGCTAGCAAAGAAATTTTTGAATGTATGATTTAACATGTTTTGTTTTTACTACTGCTCATGGGAATTAAGAGTGCATTTCTGCATATTCATCATAAATTTGGCCAGAATAACAAGGGAGGTAGCTGAGTGATCAGAAATAGGGTTCAACATATCCAGGACAGACTCTATGAAAATTTTCTGGGATTTTTGCCTTCCTGGATTCAATCTTGGGTCCCCAGAGTAGTAGACTGATGCCTTAACCAGCTCAATCATCCAGCCAGCTAAATATTTTATTGATAAGTCCATTCATATCATCTCATATTTATTCCTACTATTTTGCATAATTTGAATGTATAAAATGATGATAATTGATATTTTGACTAGGGAGAGTATTTACATACAGTAGAGCGTCGTTTATCCGAAAGCTGGTTATCCGAAACGTCCGTTATCCGAAAGCATTCCAGTCGGCAAATTTAAATTTTCGCTAGTGCTGTGGCGCTGCAATCTTCGGCTATTTCTCGGGCTACTCAAATATTTTACGTTTTTGATACTAAATTAACATCTGAAGTATAATTTTTTATTGTTTTTATATTTTTCAATAAATTAATTTTGTTTGTACAAAATAAAAAAATAATTTTTAACGATACAATAGTCTTCGTTAGGCTTAACATCGACGAAAATTCAATGTGAAGCGACACACACAACAGAGAGAAATCTCAACATGGGATAAATTAATATATTTTTTCGTACATGATTCGTTATCCGAAAAATAAGTTATCCGAACCACCCCAGTCCTCAATTGATTCAAATAAACGACGCTCTACTGTATTTAAGAGAGTTCTTTAAATAAAGCCTTTCTTGACAGGAGATATCAGAAAGCCTTCTAATCTTTCAGAAATAATTAAATTGCAGAAAAATTATTATCTTGGACAAATTGATGAGATTATGTCAAAAATTGTATTTAAATTTTATTTATTGAACATTTTTTTTATATTACTCAAATTTATTTCTCTAAAACAACAGTTTTAGAGAAATTTAATTTGAAATTATCTGGATTCTGTCTAGTTTTATTGGAATTAAATGTTAATTCTTTTTTAGTTTTTTTTTTCCTGTGAACACATCTTTCAGTAGGCTGAAAACATTTAGGATAATTGTATAAAAAACCGTAAGATTACTACCTGACAATGGTCTGCCTTGCAGTGAGAGACAGATGTACTCACCTTTCTCACGATCTGTCAGGATGATGCAAGAGGTTTGGCCATATGGGGGTAGCAGTACTGGACACAGAGATTCACACTGACACAGATTAACAGTGATACTCGTGTTTAATGAGACAATAAGGTTATGCTTACAATAAGTACAGCAGAGAGTTTTGAGAATTGTGACACAAAAGGCAAGCTCATTGCTGCTGAAGCGTTGATTTTGAGGATGTGCAGTTGAAGTGTCAGTCTCAGAGGTCCAGGGGCACCAGGATGAAGACATCACAGCAAATACCATTGGAGGATGCTCTTGATCATAGGAGAGCAGTCTTTTTCAGATAACTATAGGAGGGTAATTCCTTGATTTTGGCTACCACGGATGATCTTTCGATCTCAACCACCAAAAACAATCTCAATCTCAACAACCTCGCATGTCCTTGAAAACCCAGGCTTTTATACAATTTTACCCCCAAAATTCTGATTTTTGGTTGGTCCAAACTGTTCTTTTCCCCTTCCCCATTGGTCCCCATACTGTTACCAGGGATGCAATTTGGATCATGGGGTGTTGACCACTCTCTATCACCCCCAATATGGACCACTCTCCCAGAGGGTAGGATAACACTTCTTCTCAAGCGATTGTCTTGTAAATTACCAAAAATGTGTTTTTCTTCTATCCTGGAGAGAACACAGCTGTGTCCGCATGGTCCTGGCTGCACCCCCTGAGGAAGCATTTACTTTAACGCTTTTAACTCAGTGTTGGGTGACTGCAAAACTCCAATTGATGTCACTTTTATCTCCCCTGTGATCTACGACCAGGATTTGTGACAATTAAATCTTATAGCACCCAATTTCCTCATGTCTCTGGCTCCATTCACATTCGCAAGAATATATCACCCGTTTATTGACATTGGTTCAATAGCCCATCTCCTGCATCGACAGGTGAGGTCCCAGCCTCAAAACTTTGAGTAAAAATTTTTTGAAATTAAAATGTTAATTAAAATTATTATAATATTTTGCTTGTATCTTAAAACTGCTAGAACAGAAATAAAATCTTTGCATTGCCCTGCATCTGCTTTTAAATTGATATTTAAAAACAGATAATCTGTTAGTTATTTACCAGAAATTACAGTGATTAAAAAATAATAATAATAATTATTATTATTATTATTATTATATATATTATATATATATATAATAGGGAAAGGAGCAATTTTGGCGAAAAGGTCACGTCATACCGGTCCGCACTACGGGTAAATATTGACATTCAACTTTGCAATTTATCGTTTACTCAGCCATCTGATNATATATACATTTTATTAATTTATAAGTTGTTTTTTTTAATTTAAAATAAATATTTTACTATAAAACTATGAAATTATATTTAGGTTCATATGTACAGAAAGTTAGAAAAGATTTCCAAGATGCTTTAGCTTCGGCAAGTACTGTGGCTGAGGAAAATCTCTCCAGTATAAGAACAGTTAGAAGCTTTGCAGGAGAAGATAAAGCTAACAAATTATATTCTAAAGAAATAGATGTTAGTTATGGTTTAGGAAAGAAACTAGCCTTAGTTCAAGGTAATTATATATATTGTATATATTTTTTACTGTAATGATTACAATGACAGATATATTCACCTCCTTAAACATTCAAAACCTCTATCAAGACCATTTAAAAACTGTACAGTTTTTAAATGTTTAAAATGTTTAAAACAAATTATTTTCTATTAATATTTCTCATCATGTAGATATCAATATGATTACTACATTATAATCAATTTATCTAAAATATTATCATGATCTTATTTAAATTTATAATTTAGTAAGTCTTCAGGTTTATTGAAAGGTTTGTCTTTCGGTGACGTTGGATAATCATAAGTCATATTAGACTTATGATTATTTTTATGTTAAAAATATAATTATATTTATGATTTTTTAGGACATCATAGTTTCATTTTAGGTATGTAGCAAAATGCTGAAATGCTCAGATATGTTGACTAAAACTATTTTGCTTCTTCTTTTCCTATTTTAGACTTATTATGTATAAGACAGACATGATCACTTTGAAAGTTTCGTTCTCTAATTTCAATAATAAGTGCATAAATAGAAATGGTATTATACTTAAATTCTTAATTAAAACTGAATGAAAATTGTCAAAATTAAGTTGTATGTAAATATATGAGAAGTACTTGCTTGTACAGTAAGACCTCGCTTAACACTGCCTTGCTTAATGCTGATTCAATATGATGCAGTCTGCCCAAAGCCTAAAAAAAAGCTCAAAATTTACACTGATTTAAATTATTGTGGCATTTCATTGATTCATATAATACAATTATTTATGAACACAAACCAATAAGAAAAAGGTGGCAAAAAGGTGTAATTTCTTTAAATCTATGTTTGTTTGGTGCAATTTTGGAAAAAATTAACATCATGGATGCCATAGGCAATATTGACTTTGCTTGGCAAGAATTAACTGATAAATGCACAAACAAAGTGTGGAAGAAGTTATGGCTGAAGGTATCCAAGAATTCTCAACGAGAAGAACCTATTGCTGTATTGTTAGGTTGATCAAACTCAACCTAATCGATACAGCAGGACTAGATGTAGAGGAGCAGGATATTGAGGAGTTACTGCAGGTTTCTGGTGAGAGCCTTACCAACAATGATCTTCAGGAACTGGCAGAACAAGAATTCATGTAGAACTGGAAAATAGAGATTCTAAAAATGAAGAACCCAAAAAATTTCTCTACAGATTTCCTTAGTAAAAGTTTGGTAATGATAACCGAAATCGTTGATCAAACTGTAGCGAATGATCCAGATTTTGAAAGGAGTACAAAAGCGAGATGAGGCATTTTGGATGTGATCTTCTGCTATCGACATTTGCTTAACCTGTCTTATGTTGTTCCCGAAAATATTCATGTTGACCTCATTGACCTGTGTGGGCGATCTTGAATATTTTCATGTTTACATCGGAACATTTTGGATACTAGATGTCGCTATGCGTCACAATTTTTATATTAAAACAAACTTTTAAAATATAATTTTTTTGATTTTATATTATTCAATATATTTATTTTGTTTGTGAAACATAAAAAAATAATTTTTTACAATACAGTAAACACAATTATTATTTTAAAAAAAAAATTTAGACTTAATATCGATGAAAATTCAACATGGCGTCACAAGCAACAAATAAAAATTTCAACATCGAATAGGTTAAGGAAAAAAAAGCGACAAATGAAACTTCACAACTTTATTGCAGAAAAACAAGAATTTCAGAAAAGTTAGGACCTTCATCACAAAAAATGAACTTTACATTTCTGTATGTAAATGTTTGTGTTACGAGCTGTTACCTGCGACTTTGCCCGCATGGATTTTGCAAGAAAACCTCATTTATATTCAGTATTTCAACAATCATAGTAATTGTTATATAACACCTGCCGCTGAGAACGATGAGAATTGCTGAGAATCAAACAAACTGTATCCAATTTGATCAATTTTCTGGTACATTTACAATCGTTCTATAATCCAACTAATATGCAATAACAAATTTGAATTTAAAACAGTTTGAACATTTGGTTAAAAAATCAAAATATATAAAAATATTTATAACAATGTCTGAAATGTTATCAATTTAATGCACCTAAGTACTCAATGAAAACTAAATGTAGTTAAAAACAAAAAAATTGCATCTAAAATATTACAGTAGAAGCCATTCTTCAGGTTAAGCCTTAATCCTCTCCCTCTCGGGGAGAAGGGATTTCCAAAAATCCCTTCTTCGTGTGCATTCTCATGATGTACCCTAACTGTGTACAAAATTTCACCACTTTAGGTTCAGCGGTTTGCTCAGGGCAATGATGAATCAATCAGTCAATCACTCAGTCAGTGAGGACAAGTAATTTTATATATTTAGATTTAACATATATTATTATACAAATTAATATAAAAATAACTTAAAATTAAAGTAAATGTTGTTTATTTTTGGTTGTATGTTCCCCTATCCCTATTTACTCTGTTAGAATGATCTCGTTTAACTATATTTCATTTAGCGCTTTGTCGTCTAGGAACGCATCCCTGGGTTCTTACTGTACTTTCAATTAAAATTACAACTTTGCCTTCTTTGGGAAGGACTTTTTATTTTGGGCAGCCAAGTAGCCTATGGTCATGAAAAAAGTTTGTATTCCAAAAGGAATTCACCATTTATTTGTTTATGTATTCTGGAACACTTTGTGTTCCAGAATACATAAACGAATAAATGGTGGTTCCTTTTGGACAGACTGTCTTCAAATTTATTTTTACATAATTGCCATCTGACGAAATTATACAATTAAAAAATTTAATTTAATAGTTATCAGTGGCATGCCATGACATTTGATGATAGGGAAGCTGTGTTTCTGTAAGAAGCTGACTTCCAGGGGCAATCAGTTAATTCTTTAAATGTATTTTTAATAGATTATTTATCTGACGTAATTAATAAA